AATAGTTAAGCATAAATTTTTTACTGCTTCATACCATGATAACCATCTTATTTCATGAATTTGTCTGATTTTTAGAACAGGATGATCTAAAATAGTTTGATATTGTCGTAATGTTTCTTGTCTTTTACTTGAAGAACCAAAAAAAGAATAAACTGATTTCATAATATTTTCTACATGCTTACAAAAAAAAACTTTTTTTTCTGCAGAATTACATGCTAATGCCAACCTATGAGCAATACAATGTGTAGTAAATAAATATGGATTTCTTTTTGCAATTTTTGTTGCAACCCCATTCTTTTTTTCAAGCATTACACTTGCTCCATCAGATGCAAATGAAGTGATTTTTGATATTATTCCTATAAAAATATTTTTTAAAAAATGTTAGTTAATTTGTTAAAATATAAACAAAATATAAAATATTTTACAAACCATTATTATCAAAAAGTGTAATTATGACATTAAAAATTGAATCTGCATCTTTATTTTTCAACTGAATAAGCTGAAGATATTTAACTTTTATTACTTCTTGAATACAATATTTAACATATATAATCATATGTAATTTACATGTTATATCTGTACTTTCAGTTATTATTATCCCAATAGAAGTAGAATTTTTTAATTCTTACCAAATCTTTTCTTCAATTGATAAAGCTATAGCAGATAAAAGATCTCGACCAGATACAGAATTTTCATAAGTAATTGAATTGGTATTGGAAATAATTTTTGCGAATTCTAGTGCTTGACCAAGTTGAATAACAATTGGAAATTTATTTAATGGTACATTATTTTTAGCTAACAAAAAAACAATTTTTATTAAATTGCAAGTATGTTCATATGCTTTATTAATAGCATTATTTGTAACTTTTTTCATTTATACTTTTGCAAGTTCAAGATTATTTGCTTGTGTATGATCATCGCTAGTAAAATGTTCAGCTGGAGCTAAAGCTTTCATATTTTTAGATCCTAAATTTTAATTAAATTATTATTAATTTAATAGTATCAAAATGTGTAAATATCATAAATAAATAAAATCTTATATTATACCTTCTTTTGCAAAATGATTTGACATTTTGTAAGCTTTACAAATTGAACAAAACATCAACTTTTTGGAAGCATCATATATTAACTAAGGGTAAATTCTTAACTATACTTGCTGAAAAACTCCAGTTTTACAATTAAATTTTAGTTTTTTAGAAGGTTTATAATGACGTATTATAGGTTTGCGAATTAAAGATTTGTGAATAGGTTCAGTAGATTCATCAGATTTGAAAATATCATTAAAATTAACTACTTTCTAAACTAAATAAATATTAATAAACTTGTAAGATTTTATCATATTTTAATAAAATAATTCATTTATTGAGCAAATACCTTTCATTAACATTATTAGATTCAGAAGATTTAGAATAATATTATAAAATCACCATTTTTTAAAACCATCAAAAAAAAGTTTTTTTTTTAATAAAATCGATAATCAATTTTATTGTTAAAATTGGTAATAATTTTTGCCCAGAAAAATATCTGATTCTGAAAAAATTTATCAGATATTTTTAAAAATAACCAGAGATCTCCATTTTTTACAGTACTATTTTATGCTCTAGATGTAATACTATTTAACTGGATAATTGCTTATAAAGCTCTGAATAGGTTAGGTTGAATCAAACATAAAAGTTGATCTGAATTAATAAACAGTAATGGCAAATTACTAGATCATTTACAATTTTTTCAAATGATCTTGGTCATTTGGCTTAATAAAAGTGAGGTCATTTGAGATCATTTCAAGATCATTTTAAAATTACCATATACCTCCAAAATTAAGCACATCTTTTTTATTATGAGGGTGTTTAATTTCAGATGATTTTATAAAAAAATTTCCTAAATTTCTTCTCTTTGAAATTGCATCACCAAAATGATATTTGAAATTGTGCAAAATAATAATTTGATCAGATAATTTGTTAATTTGTATAACCAGATGATTTTATAATTTATAACATAAAATTTACATAAAACATATATTTTTAAACTTTTCAAAATGCTAAAAAAAATATCAAGTCTCAGCATACTTCATACTTTATAAACCCAAAAGAACAAGTTGTCACTTACATTAAGTAGCATAAACGAAACAAAACAGCAAGTTATTTTTATCTTGATATTAGTATAATAGGTCGCTAGATTAATATAAGTAAAAATTGGAATATTGAAATAGATAAAAACAATAAATAAATTGGCTTAGATTGAAAAGCCTTTTATCCTGAGACAAAAAGGAAAGGATTAGCTGTTACTTATGTGATCTTACGAATTAAAATGCAAGAAATTATAAAGGAATCTGAAATAATAATTTTGTATAATAATTTGGCAAAAGATTTTAAAATGTCAAATTAATGCTATCCTCCTTTATAAAAAGATATGAATTATCTTAATGACGATATATAAAAATCTCACAAAAACTACTAAGTCAAATAGAAAAATCATTAGCCAAATTTTATCAATTTATTATCTGTTTAAAAACTGAAAAGTTCTTTATAGAGTTTTGCAATTCAATTTGATATTTGAATATTCAAATTAAAAATCAAAATACAAATATAAATTTATATTTAATTTGATTTGATTAAATTTAAATCAAAGAATGATTTATTTGATCAAATCCAAATTAATCTTTAATTCAATTTAATCAAATTCAAATCAAAGTATTTCAAATATTTGATTTGATTCGAATCAATAGTAAAGCCATCTCCAAAGCTTTAAAGGTAGTATTTACTTAGAAAACCATAGTAAAAAATGCTTCTATAGCTTTGAAAATACCATTTTATTAAGAAAATATAGTAAATAAAATACACTTTTACAACTTTAGAGACATTATTTTACTAAAAAACTATAATAAAAAATGTCTTCACAGCTTCAAAGACATTTTTAATTAAGAAACCTAGTAAAAAACCATATTTATAACTTCAGAAACATTTTTTACTAATAAAATAATTCAAAATCATAATAGCAATTATTACTAAGTTTTCTTAGTAAAACTGAATTGAAGCTGTTAGGGTTCCTCAAAATCGAATTGAATCAAATATTTAAGCAATTTGAATTTGATTTAATTTTTTCAAATTGAATTGAATTGAATCGAATTGAACTCAAATATTTGATCGAATCAATTTGAATTAATTTTAATTTGATCGAATCAAATCAAATTGAATCAAATATTTATCAAATCAAATCAAATCAAATCAAATATTTATCAAATCAAATCAAATCAAATATAAAAAAATTTTTTAATTTTTACAATGATATATTAAAATAAAGTTATTATAAAG